AAGCAGCAGCAGCAGCAGCAGCAGCAACCGCAACAACAACAATAACAAGAGAGCGGCAACAACTGCAAGACTGACACAAGCACCAGCAAGTGCAGCAGCAATTAGAGACTGCAACTGCAGCAGCAGCTGCAGCACTCAGTAGAAGGGGGTCAGGCATTTTATTCTTGCTGCTGCTGCTGCTGCTGCTGCTGTTGCTGCTGCTGCTGCAGGTGTCTCCTGTCTCCCCAACTCGCTCCGTTGCACAAGAAGCTGCTGGCCATAATGGAGTGTGCGTGGCGTCTGAAGGCATTGCTGGTTAGGCAGCAGCAGCAGCAGCAGCAGCAGCAAAGGCAGCGGTGGCACTTGATGCTGCCAGGCCCCGAAGCGGACCAGCAGCAGCAGCAGCAGCAGCAGCCGCAGGGGGGACTCATAAGGGCTTCTCTGCCTCGCTGTGTCTCCCTTGCTGCTGCCTCTTCCGCAGCAACTCCAGCAGCAGCAGCAGCAGCAGCAACAGCAGCGCGGGAGTTGGAGTGCCTGTACTTCGACTACGAGCGCAGCAGCAACGCCTTCATAAGGGCCCTCCTCGTGCTGCAGCCGCTGCAGATTTTGTCCCCTTTGCTGCTGCGCCTTAACTTTAATGGTTTTCTGGCAACGCAGGCCAGAGGGGGGCCCCCATGGGGGCCCCCCTTAGACAGGCGCCCCCTTGGGGGCCCCCCTAGACAGGGGCCCCCTTGAAGGCACCCTTAGACAGGGGCCCTCTTGGGGGCCCCTCTAGACAGGGGCCCCCTTGGGGGCCCCTCTAGATAGGGGCCCCCTTGGGGGCCCCCCTAGATAGGGGCCCCCTGTGGGGCCTTGTTGGATCTAGAGGACTTCCTTAAGCCTTCAGAGATTCTTATGGGGCCCTACAGAACCCGGGCCTCTTGTGGGGCCCCACAGGGGGCCCTTCAAGGGCCCGGATAGGGGGCCCCACAGGGGCCCCAAAAGAAGTTCCCAAGTGGGGCCTCAAGGTGCCCCACGGGGGCCCCACAGAGGGCCTCATAGAGGGCCGGCCCCCCAGGGGCCCCCCAAGGGGGCCCCTATGGAGGCCCCTATGAGGGCCCCCAAGGGGCCCCCTGAGGGGGCCCCCAAGTACCCGTTTAGGGGGCCCCACAAAGGCCTCTTGTGGGGCCCCATGGGGGCCCCCACAGGGCCCACTTGGGCCTCTTCGTGGGTTTAGGGGCCCCCCAGTTTGCTTCTCCTAAGGCTTCATTTTGTGGCGCACAGCAGTGCAGCAGCAGCAGCAGCAGCAGCAGCAGCTGCTGCTGCTGCTGCTGCTACCCGGCATCTGTACATCTCTTTTGCTTCTTATTTGTCTCTTTTATCTTTTTGTCTTTTTGTCTTCTTGTCTCTTCTGCCGAAGTCCCAAACAAATCCTTTTCTCGGGACTTTTGTCTCCAAGTCCTACTGAGGGGCGGCCGCAGCTAACTAGCTAGCTAGCTAGCTAGCCAACTAACTATCTGGCTGGCTAGCTGGCTAGCTAGCTACGCAGGCGACTAGCCAGCAGCCCAGCTAGCTAGCTACCCAGCATCCCAGCTGGCTAACTAGCTAGCTAGCTAGCAAGCTAGTTAGCTGGCTAACTAGCCAGCCAGCCAGCAAGCTATCTAGCTAGCCAGCTAGCTAACTAGCCAGCTAGCTAGCTAGCTACCTAGCTAGCTGGCTAGCTACCTACCTAGCTAGCTAGCTAGCTAGCTACCTAGCTAGCTGCCTAGCTAGCCACCCATCTGATGAGCCTGATATCTTCGTTGCTAGCTGCCCAGTCCCAACTACGAACCTCCAGCTAGCTAGCTGGCTATCTAGCTAGCGCGGCAGCTAGCTGGCTAGCTAGCTGGCTATCTAGCTAGCTAGCTACCTGGCTAGCCAGGCGCCCGCGGCTTCTCTCTCATTTCTTGAGGAAAACGTAACCGAAATATCGTTGCAGTCTTTGCTGCTGCAGCTACTGCTGCAGCTACTGCTGCAGCTGCTGCTGCTGCTGGCTAA